ATTCCTGTCCCTCCCCTCAAGTCAGAGGTGGGGTGAGAAGAGCCCTGCCCTGCTCCTGCCCTCATTCTTCACCTGTCTGCCCGCCTCAGCCAGGGAGGCCCCCAGAGATGGAGTTAGATGGCTGCGACCAGGGAATGGACACCTGGGTTCTAATCCACTTGCTCCTCACGCTTGCTTTGACACTTTGGTGGGAAATCAAGCCTCCTTCTCCAGCACACTTGCCCCCACCAATCTTATTTGGGGCATGGTGGTGGTGATGATGGCGGCAACGGCTAGGTGTCTTTCTGGGTGTCAGAATGGGGTGGAGGTTTACAGATTTATGTGTGTATGGGGTTTTTTTGGGGTTTGTTTTTTTTTTTTTTTGGTGGAGCAGGGGGTGTAATGAGAGCAGTTTTATAGAGCCGTCTCCTACCCTCTGAGCAGTTCCCTTGACTGCTCAGGAGTGACCTATCCCCCCACCCTCTACTCTACACTCTCAGCCCCCCTCACCCCCGACCCCCTCAGGACCGATGACTGCACAAAATGGCCGCCACCCCTCTGAGGCAGCCATTTTAGGTGCCCAGACTGTGGCCTCCCCTGGGATGGGGCTATGTCTCCATGGGAACCTCAGACCCTCGGCTCCCAGCTCCCTGGATGGGAGTGGGCAGCAGGAATGGGAGTCTTCCAGGCCTGGCTGAGGTGCCCACCCTTCCCCTTCCCTGTCAGAGACCCGGAGGGGACCAGACCCCTCACCAACTCCCTTCCCCCAATGCCAGGGGGAGGAACAGATGGCATCTCTGGGTGTCCTTCTCCTTCCGTCTCCTTCCTTTCGTTTCTGGCTCGCTCTGTCTCTCCATCACTGCATCTCTGCCTCTCCGGGTGCACAGAGAGGAGCAGGGATGTCCCTGTATGTTCATGCTTGTTCTTGTGTATGTGGACACGTGTGTGTTATACCTCTTTCAAGCCCATGTCTAAGGCGGGCCCATCCCACACCTCCCTCTGTTCCAATTTTCCCATGTTTTTTTTTTTTATTGTATCTTCTAAAATAAAGTTGAAATGTGTCGAGTGAGAAAAACTTGTTCCATTTTTCTGAAGGAAGAAGAGACAGGGGCAGCAAACAGACTGAGAGGGATGAAGTTCCTCATACCCTTAGGGATGCCCCCCTGCCCCTCAGGCCTCCTTCAGCAGGCTGAGGTCATTCCTGATAGGAGATAGGAAAGGGATGGAAGGACATCCGAAGAGCTCCGCTATGCTGCGGAGGTCTGCCTCCTGTCTGGAGCAGAAAGCAGAGCTGGAAGAGGCCTGTGAGGCTTAACCCAGCCCTCAGTGTCCAAAGGAGAGGGCAGAGGGGTAGCTTTCAATCACAAGGAAGCATTAATTTACTTGCTCACCCATTCATTAGCCCATTAATTCAACAAAAACTCAGTTCCCTTATACACATAGCTTTCTGAATGTGTGTGTGTCTTGGGGGTGGGGGGGTATGTGCCAGGAATTAATATTGTAAAGCATCTTACAGTTTACAAAGTGCTTTAATGAAAATGAGAGTGACATTTATTACAGGCGAACTCTATGACTAACCCTGTGCTGAACTCAGTTCATATCTTAGCCATTTAGTACTGACACCAGCTCTATGAGGTATAGAATAATTGTCCCCATTTTACAGATGGGGAAATCAAGACTGAGAGCTATTATGTAACTTGTTCAAGGTATTCAGCATTCTTTAAGGCTGGCAAGCAGTGTTGGCCAGTAATTAGAGCCCAAAGCATGTGTGTGTAATCAGAATACCATATGACGGGGGGCTCTAGAAAGGCCATATGTCAGGATTCAAAACACCCCACACTCCATAAAGGAACAGTGAAGCTTCTAGGGCTGTGCCCAGACATGGACAGAGGCCTGGCCAGCATTACTGAGTCTTTGCCCCACCAGAGAGACCCTCTCTACCATGCCCAGAGGGCCCCAGACATCTTCCAGAGGTGGGAGTCTACCTTCCCAGAACCAGGATGTATGAGTGGAGGAAAACTTACCACTGGCTTCTCATCCTTGGGGACCCCGAGGCAGACTGTGGGATTGTAGAAGGAGCACTGGGCTGGGGGTTAAGTCCCTGGATTCTAGACCCAGTTCTGCTTTCCACTGTGTGTTCCTGGACAAGTCAGTTCCCCTTTATGGGCCTCTGTAGAAGGAGTATTTGAAGGGCCTTTTGGTTCCTGGTCAGCCCCACACAGTGCCAGCCCCTCTTCTCCAAGCCCTCCTTAGTCATCATGTGTGTCTCTGTCTAACCTAATTCATCCCACCAAGCATCAGGTCAGTGTCTTACCAGTTAGAAACCCCTTCTAGAAGCTCCTAGGGGGAGAAAACTATCTATCAAGACTGAGGGTGAAACCCGCATCTTTGCACCACCACAGCCCTGAGCACATGGTTGACATCAGAGTGTGTGTGGTTAAGGTATAATTGAAGTTGTCCAAGCATATGGAAGCTGGAGGGTGGGGAGGGGCAGGAAATGTGGGTCTGAAACAGACAAACGCCTGAATCACTGTGTGGGCAAGGGTCTCTCTACACCTGGTTGTGATTACCTGCTTACACACATGAATCTATCTGAGTAGGGGTGTGTATCCATTTTCTGCACCACAGAGTGAGGAACAGGTGTGTGTGTGTGTGTGTGTCTCTAAAGCTACCTCCCTCAGCCCAGGCCATTTGCATCTGTGTCTGGCCCAGTGTGAGGAATGAAAGATGAGCTGTAAGACAAAATAGCAATTTCCTACCTTCCTTATCAAGACACCTGTCTGACTCACCTCCCCTTGGTCACTCTCAAGACTGCTGGAGTTGGCTTCAGTATTTTCACTATTTTTTGCAGCAGGAGGAGAAGGCTTGAGTCTCCTCCTGGAACTTGAGGTAATTCCCAGCTCAGTCCCCTCCTCCCTCAAATAAGCAAGTCAGAGGCAGGAGAGAAAGCCACTGGTGGGATGGTCACTTGTCTAGCAGGGGAGGGTATGTTGGACAGGGAAGTGGGGAGAGGAGGGAGAGGTTTCTGGGTTAGGAATCCTGACTGAGCCCTCTCTCCCACCCCAGACGGTGAGTGCACAGGCTCACCCCAAGGTGAGCCTTTCCATCCTCATCCCAATATACATATGCCCTGAAACACCCAAGGAAATCTCTCCCATCCGCTGACTCCACAGATAGACACACATGTCCCCACAGACACACACACACGCCCATGCAGAGGCACAGACATCCAGGCAAGTCTTTCCTTTTCTCTGTCTTTCCCTTGGTTTGAATTTCGTTCAGCCACATATGTTGTGTGTGCGTGCGGGTGGGTGGAGGAGGGGCAGACAGGGATGAGGGATGGCATGGTGCCAACATCTACCTATGGGGCTTGGGCCAGGGACGCCCCCACGCCCACTCTGGGAGGGGGCCTCAGCTGTCCCTTTGTGGCTGAGGGGATCCTTGTGGGGGTGGGTTGGGGCAAGCATAGAGGTTCCCTTCTCCAGACCCCAGGGTCTGGTCCCTGACCCACCTTTGGGGGCCTGAAAGGGAGGAAATGGACAGAGCAGGACCCTGGAGGGAGCATAGAATTGGGGACACCACAAACCCCCAGTTTCCAGCCTTGCCACCCCATTGTTCCCATGTGGGGGACTCTATATCCAAGGGGGGCAACTCCTCCCACCTCCCTCTCAATCCCTGCTTTCCCTGCGTTGGGCGGGGAGGGGAGGGCGGCAGAGATATTTATTTATTTCCTTTATTTATTTAATTTTTTTTTTTGGTAGTAGAGAGTGACAGATGGCGGCGGGTCCCGGGGGAGCCGGCTCTCCCCCAATGCAGACGCATGCCAATCACCGTCTCTCATGTGATAGCTGCTGCCCGTGACGTGCCAAGCCCATATGGCCTGGCATAGAGGCTGGTACCCCGCCTGGTAGAGATGCCACACTCGCTCCGCGGTTCGCATGGCGCTCTGAAGACGCCGGCGCCTGCCGCCTTGAGGAGCCGCTGCCCCCGCTCCCTGAAGATGGGGGAACAATGAAATAAGCGAGAAGATTCCTCTTCTCCCCCCTCTCTCTCTTGCCCCCCTCCCCCCCTCCCCTCCCCTCTCCCCTTGACTCCTCTCCGAGGTAAGTTGTCCGAAAGGGAGCTAGATCTGACCCGCCGGTTGGGGGGGAGGGTGCGGCTTCTTCGGCCGATAGGAGGGTCCCTAAATCCCCCCATCCCCAGACGATGCCCCTCATGGGGTGTG